GAGCAGAGAAGGGGTGTGAAAGCGTTTGCAAGGCAGGCATCAGAGTCTGGGGTGCCAGTCTGTGTAGACTAGAAACTTTAATTTTAAAAATGATCTCGGTCTGGTTACAGTCCTCATTTGGGAGGACTCGTTTATACATTTCCTTGTGTCAGACAAACCAACCTCAGCTGTGTCACCTTATTCTTGATCTTTCTGGGGGTTTTCCCCAGCTGGAGAAGGGGGGAAAAAAACTTCCACTGAAGTGGGTGCAGGTGTTGCCAATAGCTCAGCCCCTGAGCTGGATGCCTGTGCCTTTTAAAATTGTCCCCCCCATCAGCAAGTCAGCCCTTCCCATCCTTAAAGTGATCTGGGCAAAAGAAATCCCTGGTGTTATTCACCTCACATGGGTACCGTGTGGTGGGCAGAGGTCATCTTCTGCCTTTTGGAGAGTACTGTGTCCAGTTTTGGGCCCCCTACCACAAAAAAGACATGGAGGTGCTGGAGCGGGTCCAGAGAAGGGTGACAAAGATGGTGAGGGGTCTGGAGAGTAAGTCTTATGAGGAGAGGCTGAGGGAGCTGGGGTTATTCAGCCTGGAGAAGAGGAGGCTGAGGGGAGACCTTATTGCTCTCTACAACTCCCTGAAAGGAGGGTGTAGAGAGGTGGGGGTCGGTCTCTTCTCTCAAGTCACAGGCGACAGGACAAGAGGAAATGGCCTCAAGTTGCGCCAGGGGAGGTTCAGGCTGGATATTAGGAAAAATTTTTTCACTGAAAGGGTTCTCAGCCACCTTGTTTGTTGTGTGGGTGTCTATTTTTGTCAGTTAGGTTGATGGTTGGACAAGATGATCTTTAAGGTCCCTTCCAACCTAGAAGATTCTGTGATTCTGTGATGTGATGCCCCAACTCTTCACACAGAGCCAGGAAATGTGGAGAGCAGTGACTTTTAACTTCCCCAGGATGGGGTTTGCTGTGAGCTGCACTTTGAGGACACTCACGGGTTCTCCCCTTCTACTGAGAACATCGGACTGACTTGAAACAAAGTCAGAAAATCGTAACACCTGACTGAAAACAACATGGGTTTCTCTGTAATATGTCCACCAACTTTTTTTGGGGGGGAGAGAGTGTACACCTTGACTTGCCACACCTGATGTAGAAGGCAGGATGAGTACCCACATGGGCTGTGCTCCTCTGGAGTGCCCCAGGAACCAGCCGTGCAGCCTGGCCATGTGTTCTGCAAAACCTCATAAACCAGTGACTAAAGAGGAAAGGACTCGGAGGCCTGGCTCCTGGGACACCGGAGGTGTGGCGTTACAGTAGCTTGGAAAACATTCCCACTTTAAAACAAGTAACACCTATAATTACAGAGGCGTCATCACCTTCGTAATTTTTTTTTGTATTATTATTATTTTTTCCTGCAGTCGTAGCCTGGGTCCGCCCTTGCCAAAATCTGCCGGGCGTTTGCTCTTGGGATGGTTCTGGGAATATCCAGCATCTTTCTCCAGGCACTTGTAAAACAATCCAGCAGTAAACAATTCAAGTACAATTAGCAGCTCCATCAGCAGAGGCGGGGGGAGAAGTCCCACTGCTAGTATTGTCTATGGAATTAATCACGTTTTAGAGGGTCGATGCGCTGGTTTAGATTTGCGAAGGCAAAAACCAGGAGACAAAGAAGTTTCCCCATAAACAACCTTTAATCCAGGCTGAAAGGTAAAACAAATATTTTTTATTTAGACCAGCAAAGGGTGGGGAGCGTTTAAAAAACAAACAAACTGCTCTTTTCAGAAGTTCATCTCCCTTTTCTTCCTACTGAAGAAATAGATGAACCAAAAAAATAAATAAAAAATAAAAATATCTAAACGCCAGAAGCTCAAGCTGACGGTAAGGATTTGGTTTCAAAGCCCGCGGTCCCTCTCGGGGCCACAAATCCCGGTGTTTTCTGCGGCACCGGGGCTGGGAGGGACCGGTTTGAGAAAGTGACCGGTTTTTGGAGGGTTTTTTTTTTTCCTCCTTTCCAGCTGCGCGACGCTGCGACCGGAGCCTGCGCTCGGGGGCTGCCAAAGTCGGCGCTGAAAATACGGCGCAAACTTCAGCTTGGCAAATATTTATTTGCAGCGATTTTCCCCCCCTCTTAATTATTTAAAAATCTAATGAATTAGGCATAAGTACCTTGCCATTACTGTAATTTAAGGTGTTAATTGCTGCCGGAGCGGCTCCCCGCGCCGATGGAGCGCTTCTGCCGGGAGATGTCGCCGCGCTCCCGGCCCTGCGCGCCGGAGCCGCTGGGGGACGGGCCCCTTTGCGCGGCCGCGGGGCTCCGCCGAAGCGCGGTTCTCCCCGCGGGAGCGGTTCTTTGCCCGCTTATCGCTTATGGCGGTGTTTCAAGGCGGGAGCTTTGGTGTCAGTCCAAACGCCATCACCAAAAATTCAACTAAAATAAAATTTATAAAAAAAAAAAACAAAGGAGGGGAAAAAAAATTGGGGTTTTCGCTGGTCGGAAGGGGAATAAAAAAAAAAAAAAAGAGTTTTTTTTTCCCGAACAAAGTCGGTGGCTCGGTAACCGCCCGGCCCGCAGCGCCGGGAGGGCGGGCTCCATCCATCCCCGCGGGGATGCACCGGGCCCGGCTCCTCTCGCCGCCGCGGTCCCGGGGGAGCGCAGGATGCTGCCTCGCTCCCGCCCGCGGCCGCGCAAGCCCCCGCGCTTGTCCGGCCGCCTCCAAGCGAGCCCCCGCGGCCGCCGGTTGCTCCTTAAGGCGGCTGGAGGCGGCCGGTGATGTTAAACTTCCCGCGTCCCGAGCGCCGGGGGGAGCCGGCCCCGCTCCTCCTCTCCCCGCCGCCACCGGCCCCTCCGCGGGAGCCCCGACAGCGCGGTCGGGAGCGCGGCCGCTCCGCGCACCCACCCGGGATGAAGACCCGCGCTCGGCCCGGCCCCTCGGGTCGCTCGCTCCCGCTCAGCGGCCGGTGCGCGCCGCTGCGCGCCCGCGCAAGTGTTTCTTAAGCACCGCTTGCGCCGACGGCGGCGTGCGCTGCGAGGGGGGCAGCGCAGGCAGCCGCCCGCCTCGCCGCTCCGCGCAGGTAAGGCGGGCTCCGCGGGCAGCCGCGGAAGGCCCCGCGGGGTTTCTCGCGGGCCCGACGCTCTCCCACCCCGTGCCGCGGAAAAGTTGCT